CTGCCCTTTTCTCCAGACCTTTCTTATCTCAGAGTACTCTTGCCTTTGCTCTCTTTATTCCAGCCATACTGGTCTTCCTCAATTTCTTCAATTTCTTCCTCCCACCACAGAGCCTTTGGAAATATCTGTGCTCCTCTCCTCCTGATCTGGAACACTACTCTCTTCCACCCCTGGGTAACTTATACCCAGTCTTCAGATATTAGCTTAAGCATCACTGACCCAGAAAAGGCTTTACTGATACCTTAGTCTAAGGCAGGCTCATTTGTTTAAAAAAACTCTTATACACTTAAGTTCTTCTCTTTCGGTGAACTTATCCTATAAGTAATTACACATTAACTAGTGTGATTACATGAAAAATATTTACTTTCACTATTAGATTTTAAGTTCATGAGAGTGAAGATTGTCTGTTTAGGTTCACATGACATCCCCAGGACCAAAACTAAGCCTGTCACAGACCAGATGCAGAATAAATATTAAACTAATGGGTGGAGAAAAGAATTAACACACAATAATACAAAGAAGGCAGAGCTCAACTAAGTAGAGGGCAGAGAGCCAACGAAGAAAAGTCGATAACAAGAGAAACAAAGGAGATGAGTATTTAAAGAAGAAAGTAGTTGAAGCCTCAAATGTCTGAGAAAGATGAAAGGAGATGAGAAGGAACCAATGGATAGGCAGAGCAAGCAGAAAATTATGGTGACCTTTAAGAAAATAGTTTCAGTAGAATGAGCACATAGAAGAAGAAAGTATAGACTGCTTTTCAAGAATGTGTCAGTGAAAAGAGGGGCAGACAGGCTGCAGAAAGGGCAGAGAGCTCAGCCACGGGAATATACTGATGGTGATCATAGAGCAGGAGTTACATGCTCAAGGTTACAATAGGAAGCAGAACAAAATGACACAGTTTGAAACTGAAGATGTTATGTTAGTAAATAATCTTTCCCTGTGGTGCAATCCAATTACTTTCTATAAATATAATGGTAGGGCTTCCCCGGTGGCGCAGTGGTTGAGAGTCTGCCTGCCAATGCAGGGGACGCGGGTTCGTGCCCCGGTCTGGGAAGATCCCACATGCCGCGGAGCGGCTAGGCCCGTGAGCCATGGCGGCTGAGCCTGCACATCCGGAGCCTGTGCTCCGCAACGTGAGAGGCCACAGCAGTGGGGAGACGCACGTAAAAAGAGAATCTAAAAAAAAAAAAAAAAGATGTAAATATAATGGTAATAAAAATAATAGCTAACTTTTTTTGGATTATTCACTAAGTGCAAGGCAAAGTGCAAAGTACTTTAAGACTTCTCACTACCTTTTTTTTTTTTCTTAGATTCCATATATATGTGTTAGCATACGGTATTTTTCTCTTTCTGACTTACTTCACTCTGTAGGACAGACTCTAGGTCCATCCACCTCACTACAAATATCTCAATTCCGTCTCTTTTTATGGCTGAGTAATATTCCATTGCATATATGTGCCACATCTTCTTTATCCATTCATCTGATGATGGACACTTAGATTGCTTCCATGTCCTGGCTATTGTAAATAGAGCTACAATGAACATTGTGGTACATGACTCTTTTTGAATTATGGTTTTCTCAGGGTATATGCCCAGTAGTGGGATTGCTGGGTCATATGGTAGTTCTATTTTTAGTTTTTTAAGGAACCTCCATACTGTTCTCCATAGTGACTGTATCAATTTACATTCCCACCAACAGTGCAAGAGGGTTCCCTTTTCTCCACACCCTCTCCAGCATTTATTGTTTGCAGATTTTCTGATGATGGCCATTCTGACCAGTGTGAGATGATACCTCAATGTAGTTTTGATTTGCATTTCTCTAATTATTAGTGATGTTGAGCATTCTTTCACAGGTCATGAAGAACCTAGGGTTAAGACGGGAATAAAGACACAGACCTACTAGAGAATGGACTTGAGGATATGGGGAGGGGGAAGGGTAAGCTGTGACAAAGTGAGAGAGTGGCATGGACATATATACACTACCAAACATAAAATAGATAGCTAGTGGGAAGCAGCCACATAGCACAGGGAGATCAGCTATGTGGTTTGTGACCACCTAGAGGGGTGGGATAGGGAGGATGGGAGGGAGGGAGATGCAAGAGGGAGGAGATATGGGAACATATGTATATGTACAACTGATTCACTTTGTTACAAAGCAGAAACTAACACACCATTGTAAAGCAATTATACTCCAATAAAGATGTTAAGAAAAAAAAAAAGACTTCTCACTAGACCTCCCAACATCTCTATTAGAGAGTAGTATCATTATCCTCATTTTACAGATGAAAACCTGAGACCCAAGCCACCTGATTAGCAACTGACAGAAGTTGAATTGGAATCCAGATATATCTGACTTGTATGACAGGTCAGATATACTATTAATTGGTTAACCCGGTATCTATTCATTCCTCATTTCCTTGTTCCTTGACTCATTATAGCTCAAGGTGGCCACACAACCCATTTCCAGCTGATGGAATATAAGTGGAAATATGTTTGGAACTTCCTTGGAAGGCTTTTTCTCTTTTAAATATATAAACATTTAAATATACATTTAATATCTGTTATCTATTAAATTTATATTAAAATTTCTAAATATTTAAAAAATAAATGTATGGTATAAAAACTTAAATATTTTCTAAATGGAAAGCCTTGCAATGCTTTATCATATATATAAAACAGGTATTGCTGGGCCACCCCATTCCTCTGACTTGAATGTGATTCCAAATCCTAGAGCTGGCTTCCATCTTATGACAATCAGGGAGTGGCAGAGAAATTACAGAGAAGCCGAACTATTAAACCGATGACAATAGTCACCTACTTCTAGACTTCTTGCTGTATGAGCAAAAAAAACTGTCTTAAACATGTTAGTCAAGTTTTCTGTTATTTACACTTGACTGTACTTCTAATGGTTGTAATTCCAAAGCCCATGCTCTTATCTACCAAACTATATATATATATCACCTCTCATCTATGAAATTAAAAGATTAACCTCTCTGAGTTCTTAAGTAGTTCAAGTTAGAAAATGCGTATTTAAATGTCTTGAAAAATAGAAATTAGTATACAAATTTATTATTGTTTTCAAAACAATGATTCTCAACTAAGGGAAGAGGCTGGAGAGCATATATCCCATAGAAACATGGGATTAGCAGCAGTGTCCTAGAAGGACACATCAGAATCTCATGGGGAAAATGTTCACATTACACACATTCCCTTTTGAGAATCACTGCTAGAGTGAACCTCCTCTTACTAATAAGATGATGAGCATATCCCGTAAATCTGTTCAGAAGGTTGAGAAGCTTTATTATGTTCAGAAGGTTGAAGGAGCTTTATTATGATAGTGGGGGATATTAAGCACACCTCCATTAAGACATCAATAGCTTAATAATTGGTAAAAAATTTTTGAACCCATGGGAAACAATCCCACCTTACCAAACTTTCTCAGAACATAAGCAATTATTTTTATATGAATACCAGTAATAAACAACCAATAATGGTATGACCCAACAAAGCTGACATAGTATAATGTAATATTAACCAATGGGATCAGAGAGTTAGCAGGAAAAAATGTAAATGTGTTTCAGAGAAAGACTAGAATGAATTCCAAATACTTACTCAAATCTTTATAAAGGTTTCCTCTTCATCTTGATTTCTCTTATTTGAGGTCAAATTTACTACTCTCTCACTAAGAAATTAACAAAGTAATTTTAAAAATTGAACTCAACTGAATCTCATCTCAAGTCCCAAATAACTAGTTTGTTCATTTATTGGATTAGGTCCCAGTATGTTTCATTCAATAACCATTTGTTGAACACCTACTGTGGGTCAGACTATTCTTGGCACTAGAGAGCCTTTACAGCTGTGAAGAAAATAACCAAAATAGCTTGTCCTTATGGAACTTATATTCTATGAGGGTAAGGAGCAAACAGACAAAAAGCAAATAAATAAAATACAATATATGTAAGCTGGTAAGTGCTATAGTGAAAAAAATAAAGTAAGGAAGGTAGAAGGTAGATAGGCAACATGGGGTGAGAATGAGACAGAGCTTGTAGGGTGGGGGAGGGTTAGTGGTTGCAGTTTTAAATACCATGGTCATAAAGCTTTCATTAGGACGCTGACACTTGAGCTACGACCTGAAGGAGCTGAAGAACCAAACCACAACTATGCATCTATTTGCTTTAATGCTAACTCTTTTTCTGTTGAATATATCATTTGAAATTGGTCAACAGCTAAATGGCAAAATGATACTGTTTTTCCTTACAAGTCACCCAGATCCATTCTAATCAAACCAAATAGGGAAAAAAGACATTCTAATTATTGGTAACCCTCTGAATCTCACTGTTGAGATATGTTGACATACCTGGCTTTTGAGGAGAAAGTTTAAATGTGTATTTTATTCCTTTATGTCACAAATATATTCATTTTTTGATACTCCCCAAACACGTATTTCAAATGTAGAAAATTTTGTTTAGTCTTAAATGAGCCCAAATTTCATCATGGGCTAACATTTTAAGACATAAAATGACTGCTGAAACTGAATTTTAATCATATAGATGAATCACAACATGCATCTTTAGCTGGACATGTATTATGGATAAGACTAGCTTTCTACAGAGAATAATCACATGTTCTAATTACCATTCTGGTTATACGCATAATTAATAATATTCTGTCTTAATGGGACACACTGAATCTTCAGACAGTTGCAAGCTTTAACTATGCATACTGCCAAATCCAACTGTCAGCTGCACTGCCAAACACAAAGGAATCTTGATGTAGTGTTTTAGCATTGATAACAATATGCATATCTTTATACATGATACAATGGAAAAATTAATTGCTTTTCTTCCTTCAAAATTTTCTCCACACTTAATAATTTTACGTTGCTTGATTGATTACTCACCCTAAATTATATATACTGGTGAGTGATCTCATGAACAACAAAAACATGAATGTAAATGTGACCCAAGATTCAAAGAAGAAAAAAATATTGTAGGACTTACTGATTGTAAACTTTCATTTTCACGTAAACAAGCTGTGTGAAGTTCTGATTTCAAGGTTGCAATGTGACTTCGATGAGATGTCATTTCCTTTTCCAGTGTAGCAATTCTAGTGCTTGCAAGCTGGTAGACATCCACGAAACTTTTAATCATAGCCTTAAGAAATAAAAATAATGCCACATACAATTCAAATAAAGCTGTCCCCAAAGGAGAATTTCCATAATTTGAAAGCAAAATCATTAAAATTTTAAAATAAACAACTTTTCATCCTCCTTTAAAATAATAACGCTAAACCTCACATTTTATATTGAGAACCCTGACTATTTTAAGAAAGTCTGGGAGAAAATAATTGAGACTTTTTTCCAGAATATTTATTTAAATAAGGTGTACTTTGATCTATTGTGCTTAAAATTTAGAATGCAGTTTTTAAAGATGGCACACTTATTACCTTTGTAAAGTTAAATTCAAGTTGCAATTTGACCTAAATTTCAATCTTAAGACATACAACAGATGGATGTATAAGCAAGATATTTCAAAATGAGCTCAGTAAAATTTTCAAACCACCTAGAAAACAAATGTTTTGAAACAAAAGGAGCTGAACTAATCCTATGATTTTTTAAGAGTAAATAATATGATTCCTATATTGTAAGAAAAGCATAATTATTTTCATTCATATAACAGAGGAACATCCTTGCATTACACTGGATATAATAAAATAAATAACATAAGCAAGTGCTGGTAACTTTTTCTCTTCCCTAAGTAGTGCAATATTTGGGAGAATTGTTGGGCCTCTGTACCACAGTTTAATCATATTTTGTAGACTTTTGCTTCTAAAGCAAGCTGTAGTGAATTTTAAGTCCAAGAATACTATTACACCTTTGAAAGACTCAAAAGTCTTTCAAAATACTTCAAATACAGTAAAGAAAATCAAACATTTCAAAGACATATTCAAATATAATTTTATGTTATTTACAAGAAAACCATGTTCCAACTGCAGCCACAACTTAGAACAATGGTAGACAGTGAAAATTTCCAAATTATATTCAATCTGAAGAGTCTGGTTTGAGAGGCCTTTAAGAAACTAGATATTTGGGCAATTCTGAATGCATATGAAATAATCTGGTGAACAAAAAGTAAGAAACAACATACACAATGTCTGAGAAAAAGAATTAGGTGAGTTATTTGTAGTTAAAAGAAAATTCATAGCTTTTTGCCTAACAAATTCCTATTTGCCCTCAAAAACCCAGTTCAGAAACCACCTCTTTAAAGAAGGCTCTTCTGAGCTGAGCCCAAAGGCAGTGTTAACTTCTATTCTGGTTCTCTGTGGGTCCCTCATGCTTGCTTCCACTATTGCATTTATTGCTTTGGCAGAAATGCATTAATTTACATGTTTATAGTCACTACACTAAGGAGCTACCTAGGCCAGATATTGTGTCAAATCTAATCATCTCTGTATCTTTAGGGATGGCTTGAATGACTGACAGGAAGGAAGGAAGGAAGGAACGAAGGCAAGGAGGGAGGGAGGGAGGGGAGGGAGGGATGGAGGGAGGGAGGGAGGGAGGGAAGGAGGGGAGAGAGAGAGACTGGAAAAGATGAAAAGCCACATTAGTCATATTCAGTTTGGCAAAAAATACCTTATAGAAAAGGATGAAGATACTTGGGAAAATATAACCTTAACACTCTAGTGAATAAATTACTACCCATACTTTATTCAAAGTCGAAAAAAGAAGCAAAAGCATAGCTGTAGGCATAAAAAGATAAAGTACACAAAAGTTCATTCTATTACCCAACACTAAATAAGCATGGTACGACCTCATGTTTGGGAACATCTCACATGTCCTAACATTCCTTACCTTGAGTCATTTCAAGGTAAGCTGAGGGCTAATACTAACACAAAATATGTCCCTGGGTTTCAAAAGTAGATAAAAATCAGAAATTACAAAATCATATCTGTTTCTTCCTACACCAAGTCTCTCTCTACTTCTGAAAATTCACTTATCTTCTCCACTGAGATGGTGGACCAGGAATCACAAGTCCTATTTTTTTCTGGTTCTCATGCTGCCACTTACTTAGCTTTATCTTATTGGGCAATGCCATGTCATCTCTCTGAGCCTCCACCTCCTCCCTCCATAAAATGGGAAGAAAAGTCAATTTTTTTGCTTATTTCTAAAACTGTTGTGAGGATCAGATAGTTAAAAATCTAATACAGGGCTTCTCTGGTGGCGCAGTGGTTGGGAGTCCGCCTGCCGATGCAGGGGACACGGGTTCGTGCCCCAGTCCGGGAGAATCCCATATGCCGCGGAGCGGCTGGGCCCGTGAGCCATGGCTGATGGGCCTGCGCATCCGGAGCCTGTGCTCCGCAGTGGGAGAGGCCACAACAGTGAGAGGCCCGCATACTGCAAAAAAAAAAAAAAAAAAATCTAATACAAAGCCATTCTCTTAACCCTTCAGCTACATTGCACCTAATATAAAAAAGCCCTCTAAAAATGGTAAGCTAGTAAATTTCATTGTAGTATTACCATTGTTCTATTTTTAAATTCTCCACTAAGATCTTAATGAGACAATCTGTGATAGGTGGCTTGTATACATGTTTTCCTGTTATATAAGGACCTAAAGTGCATAAAATGCATGAAAACTTACATAAAGGCCTTATTTAATAAAAAGAAGAAAGTCCTCTTCTATCAATAATAGGCTCCTGGATTATTATCTCAATGTAAGTCATAATAGAACTGGCCTCTAATATATAAAAAATTTCAACATTTAATAAGTTGTCCTGGGGCTTCCCTGGTGGCGCAGTGGTTGAGGGTCCGCCTGCCGATGCAGGGGACAGGGGTTCGTGCCCCGGTCCGGGAAGATTCCACATGCTGCGGAGCGGCTGGGCCCGTGAGCCATGGCTGCTGAGCCTGCGCGTCCGGAGCCTGTGCTCTGCAACGGGAGAGGCCACAGCAGGAAAAGGCCCGCGTACCTCAAAAAAAAAAAAAAAAAAAGTCCTATTTCTTAAATTTGGAGAAACACATTTCACGAATCGTCACATACATGATATTCTAAAAGGAATTATAATATAAAAGGTATTCCTTTAAATCTCTTTTTTAGAAAATAAAATATTTTTTGAGAAGTTATATCTGAATTTTTACGTGATGGATGGAACGAAAGTCATAATTATTTTGGCTCCTTCCTTGATCTGCTTTTAATAACTAAATTCTGATATTCAGTGCAGTATTAAGAGAAACCACATATTACTTCTTTATAACATTAAAAAGAATAAAATAATAATCTACTTTTTGCTTAGGATTTAGAGTCTTAAGCATTTAAAATTTTTAACGCAGTATTTGAGAGATGAAAGCAATTTTCTATAACACTTACTGTATAGGATATTTTTTTCAGAGCAGCAAAGGTAAGGTAATCAATACAGAAAGTATGTTTCACGGAACTAGTGTAAGTAAAATATACTACATGCTTCTAAAATGAAAACCTCCTTCAGAACTGAAAGGTAGGGAGGAGTGTCAGTGAAATCGTAAAGCTATTCAAAGAATCCACAGCTCTTTTGAAGAATAAAGAATGTTAACTTCCAGTATTAAAAAGTCATTCAAACTATGTTATAAAGGATGCCAGTGAAAAATCCAACTCTTTAATACAAAAGAAAGGTGCCAGCTTGGTAGAAGAAATGGAAATGACAGCTGGAATCAAGTGAGGGGGTACGAGGAGGAGTGAGTGAGCATCTCATGACCTCTCTATCAATCTCCTGAAGTCTAGCGCTATACAATACCCCTCACTCCTGTATTAAAACATCACACCTTTTTACATTAGGAAACAATGACAAAGCAGCATGATACTGTCAAAAGCAAGCCCAGCACTTGAGAATATATCCCATGTCATCTTTGGCCCTTGGGATTTTGACTATACCATGCAGTGAGATATGAATCTCAGTAGGGTTTATCTAGCTATATGAGAAACAGAACAAAAAACAGTTTCTGGACAAAAATAGCCTTTTGTTTTAGAGATAATCTATTGTGTTTATAATCAGCATACCAAAATGAGAAAGTTCAAACATATAAAATTCCACATTCTATCTATTTCAAGGAAAAGCGTAAGTGTTTCAGAATACAAAAAATTCTGAGACACAAACAGGTGACTGTCACTTGAGGACTAGTATATTATTTATATAATTTGTTATGTACATATTATGTAGTTTAGACTGACTTCAAAATTGGACTTCAGGGAAAGTAGGAGCCTTGGGAAGCTGATGTTAGGAGAAGGAGCAATTAGTGGAAAATGTCATAAGGCCTAGATGCCAACAAAATAGTAAATTTTCTATTTATATTTTTGAGTAAGTAATTGGGAAGCAAAAACCTCTGACATTTACTTTAAATTTTGTAATTACGGATATACTTCATTTCTATATACTATATAAAGTAAGTATACCATGTAAAATAGATATACCAGATACACCAAATATGTGAAATACAATAAATCCCCATAATATGGGGAAAATGATTCCTACCTTACAAAGATTTTGAGGGGGTTAAATGAATATTAATACATGAAAAGACCTTAACTATCTGGCATGCAGTAAACACTCAGGTAAATGTTAACTATAATAATGACAACGATATCAAATTAGGAAAATTACTATTTTAACTCATAAAAGAAAGATTCAATATTTCTCAGGGGTATTATTGGACACGTAAGTATTTTAAATACAAGTTATTCTACACATTGAATATGTTAAAATTCTTTCAAAAATAAAGAATTTTAGAGGCTAATGAATATTTACTTCCTAACAACAAAACGTCCCATTGATAATAAAAGTTACTATTTAAAGAACAAAATAATGCCATTTGCAGTGACATGGATGGACCAAGAGATGGTCATACTGAGTAAAGTCAGAAAAAGACAAATATACGATATCACTTATATGTGGACTCTAACAAAAGGGTACAAATGAACTTAACTACAAAACAGAAATAGAATTACAGATGTAGAAAACAAACTTATGGTTACCAGGGGGTAATGGGAGGTGAGGGATAAATTGGGAGATTGGGATTGACATATACACACTGTTATATATAAAACAGATAACTAATAAAGACTTACTGTATAGCCCAGGGAGCTCTACTCAATACTCTGTGATGGCCTATATGGGAAAAGAATCTAAA